CTTTGGGAGCCGCCCTGGAGCAGCCACTGCACATGGAGCAGTCACCCACAGAGCCACATGGACCCAAAACACCCCAAAAAGCTGCTGAAAACCTTCACTCTTGAACTAGAACTAAACAAATTTGGCCCTGTACAGAGCTGCCAGGACCCAGGAGCCCTGCACAGGCTCCTTTTGCCAGAAAAAGTGGTGATGGTGGGGTTTGGGCATGTGGGTTCCTCTGTCACCCCACTGGGATGCCCAGGAACCGACTTAGCTGGGTAAAGCAGATCATTATTAATGTCCTGCCTAAATGTTAGACACTGCCCTTCCTGACCTTTGGAGGAGAATTTAAAGAGAGAGAGATTTATATCCACAGGGCAGCTCAAAAAGTCTCTAAACAAAATAGTCTGGCACATCCCAGAGATTTTAATAGGGATTTTCACAGCATCCAAGTAGGTTTCTGTCCTGATTTTTCTCTCTACCAATTTCTATAGGCATTCCTTTGGGGGCGGTAGGGAGGTATCACGTTATAATTTATCACAAGCCGCTGCATGACTTTTTAAGGGCAGAACCGTCAATGCCAAGGCTGAGCACATGGAGAGGGGACCCTGTCTCTCCCCCAGCCACGCAAACAGCCCTGTTCTGTGCTGGAAATCACCCACCTCCCCTGCCACCGCGGCACGGGGACACCTCGCTGCCCAAAAGGGACCTACAGACCTTGGCCGTGGGACGCTGCATTGCACCGGTGAGGAGGATCCTGCCCCTGGAGCAGCAGATATCAGGGATTTTCTTTTTCTTATGCTTTTTTTAAGTGCGGGCAGAGGAGCCATCTCCCAGCATCGCCTGCAGTCCTGAGTGGCAGTGAATGAACTGCTCTGACATCTCCTATTGAAACAAAGCAAAATGTGTTGAACAAAAACCATTTCAAGATGTTTTCTGAGTGTGCCAAGTTACTCAACATGTTCTGCTTTAGTTGTCAGATGCTTTCAAAGCGATTTCCCTAACTCAGAGCACGAATGGTGAGGGCTCTCCCTGGGAATCTTTTGCCTGGGGCTACCATGGATCTGTATTTTCATAAGAAAAAGGCTCAACTAATGATTAATCTTCACCAGAGGAAGCAGGGCCTTTCTTGGGGATTTTTCTTCAGTTATTTTTAATTAATTTGTACAACTGGCAGTTACATTAAAGTGCAAAACCGGGGACTAATGCTCCAGGACCCGGCCACCTTTGCTCCTGCTCTGCCCGCTCCTGCATCCGGACCCTACGGGGACAGCATCACCCCTGGCACCTCAGGACAGAGAAAACCCCTTGTTCCTTCCTTCTCTGGGAGGAATCACTGCTTTCTGATGGGAATTTTTATCCAAGTGGAGAGAAGTTTATCCACTGAAAGAAAGGTTGGGTTTTACGTATCAATCCCGATGTGTGGCACCTTCTTTGGGGAGAAGAAATAAGATCATTGAACTGAAAAGGAGAAAGCACCTTGGTTTTAAATTCCCAAAAAGATAAATCCTGGTGTTTTCCGAAGTCTAAGGTGGCTCTGCAAGGCTCCTGGTCCCACGGATGCGTCGCGCACAGGAGCAGCTCAAGTTGAGCTGCATACATGGGGCAAAGAAACCCTCTTTCTCCTTATTCCAGACACATTCACTCCATGTTTTAATAAAAATAATGTCAGTGGCATTAACTGAGATAATGTTAACGTCTTCTTTCTGGACTTTTGTCTAGCAAAGAGAAAGCTAATACGAATGGAGGGTTATTAAGGTTGTAATGTCAGACCAAAGAGAAGATTTTTATCCGACGGCCTTATAATGACGGACTGCAACATACACCACTTCCAGCTGCTCCGTCCTGTTCTGTGAACAGCCTAGTCTGGATCCATTTAACGAGATTGGCAAAGTGTTGAATACAGCATATGGTGCCCTAAAACCACAGAACTTATTGACAGCAGCCCAGACTCGCTAAATAAAAGAACTCCTTCCAAAAGCCTCGGTCTGTGAAGACTCAGCACTTTCCTTCCAGTCACACTAGGTAAAACCCGCAGCATCCCTGCCACCCTGGCACGTTATCCCCACATGAACACCTCCTGGGAAGCCGCAGCTTGGACAAGGTGCGGATCTCCTCCAGCTACAGTGCTTCTTGGCTGACAAAACATCACCTCCTCAGGAATCACACCAAGAACCTCATTTTTGGAACAGCTCAGCTGGGCTCCCCCTCTCTCATCAGCTGGTGGTATGGGAGGTGAGGACATGTGCCACAGCTCCCAGGTTATTCCACCAAACCCCTTCCAGCCTCCCCTACTCCCTGAAGGTAACTCAGGCTGTTTAACCCCACTCCTGCAAAATCGCCCATCACAACCCCTCCACACTCAACACCACCCAAGCCTGGGCAGACACCGATGCTCTGGCCCATCGCTCTGCTCACCGGCGGTGCAGGAGACCCTCAGGGCAGGCAGAAGGGCCAGGATGGTGTGATTTGCGCTGGATTCACATACACAAGTGTGTGTGGCGCGGAGAAGCGAGCCTGAAACACCGCGTCCACGCAGGCTCAGGCACTGCTCAGTGTCACAGCAGCAGACAATGAATAGGGCCGGTGACTCAGGGCCACTCGCTGACGCACCACACTGGGCTATTCTTCTCCCTCCAGATGAGTCGTCCAAAGATTGGACGCAGCCTATCTCCAAGAGAAATGCCTGGAATTAGCTTAACTCTTGGCAGTGCAGGAAAAATCTAATTTCCTTAAGAGCAGGCTGGATCTGGCTGTCTCGAGGCAGATGTAGGACTGGATGCTTTTGCTACCCATCACAGCAGCGACACGACTCATTTCTTAGCAGCAGAGCACACAGAGCACTCAGATCCCTATAACTGTTGCATGCCCAAGTGCTCAGATCGGTGTAAACTATACTGAAAATATATGGATGCTGCGAGGAATAGTCAAATGAGAATCGTCCTACCTTTTCTGGGTAGCAACAAAATCTGCTCGGGAAACACTCTCTACATCTTCCCTGAAGACCATCACCTCTCCTGGCCCAGCCACCAAGGGACAGCAGGTTCACAGGCTTTGTATCTGTGGGACTTTGGTAACAGGTAACTGATAACGTGTAAACATCACCCCAAAGCTCTGAGATTCAAGTCAAAGCAGAAATCAAGCATTCAGTTGCTCCTCAGAGCCTCTTTGGTCTGGAAATGGGCTGGAAACGTCAGGAAACTTGTCCTTCCCACGAGATGCCCAGTACTTCCTTCTTCCAGCCGAGTAGGAAGTATCTTTGCTCATGGGGCCCTGCTTGGGTTTGCTTCAGCTCAACAGACCAGAAACCACCAAAATCTTACAGCCCTCAACTCTGACTTCTTTGCAGGGACCTGGGGTCAGTTTGAGATGCAACAGGGCACTCCTCCTGCTCCATCCCTGCCTCCCTACACTGCTGTAGGCTCCCTGTCAGGAAGCAGGGACCATCACACATCCTCTGCAGACAACGAGCAGGTTCACATCCATACCGTGACCAGGACATTTTGCAGCTGACTTGTGACAAAACACACCCTCCTCCTTCCCCAAACCCACACCCAGAATTAAATTTCTTGTCTCTGGTGCCTGGCCCAGAGGCACACCACCATCCCCTGTGCACCAGCATCATCCCCTGTGCACCAGTATCGTCCCCTGTGCACCAGCACCGTCCCCCATGCACTGCCTCACAGCATTCACACTGGGATCAGTTCCTGGTGGGTGAGTGGAGAATCTGGGGGTTCCCTAGGAAAGTGGGACCTGATGTCTGTTTGGGGCTGAATCCCTGGATAAGCTGAGCTTGGGTTAAAAAAAAAAAACAACCAAAAATGCATAAGTGAAATGAGGCTGCACCAGCCAGCACCTTGCCCAGCCGAATCCAGCTGGGCTCTGAGATATTTTCTGATCTGGGGGGCATCCACAAA